GGACCCAGGGTCAACAGCACCAGCACTTAAGCGCGCAAAAAGGGACAACGCTTTAGTACTACAACAACCTCCTGACACTCTGCAGCTCTGTCTCCAATCATTCTACAACGCGCCAAGTGCCACTCTTGTGACTGTTCCCGAATCTCCTACTTGTGCAAGAAGAAAATACAACCCTATCACCAGTGTACCTGACCTCCTTCAAAACTGCCGTACATTTACTATACTGGCCGTACACTTACTGGGGGCTTGTCCTGCCAACAAAAAACCGAAAACCGAACCCATCCCCGACCAAACCAACAATGCCACGTGACACTGAGACCTCTCGCGCCACGGAACGTGCTGCCACCGAGCTGGCACAACTACAAACAGCATATGCGGCATCCCTTGTGCCACCAATGGACCTCCTGGGGCCCTCTGCGGAGAACGCCTCTTCCGACGCGTCGTCGACAGCGCTGGGCAGGCCGCCCAGCGCGCTTTCATCCACCTCCACACCGCATCCATGGGACTTCATATCCCTCCAGACATTGCAACGCTTCACGGAGACTTACGTGGCCGAAAGGCCCCTGAAGGGAGAAAAAACCAGCTACGTCACCTTGTTGGAAAACCTACAGATTTCACCAGTAACGTTACTCATGTTTCAGATATCCAACAATGACAAAGCAGGGCACACCGCTCTCCTGCCAGGGCCCCGCATACCGCCACCACCATCCCAATGCGTACACAATCACCGGGCACCTGACCTGCCAAAACAGTGCGCAGACAAAGACTTTGAAGACTACGCAATCCGGCTCCGGGATTTACTGATCATTGACAACGTCAACGACAACAACAAAGTCCGCTGCCTCATCCACAACACGTCCCGCAATGTCTCCAACACCGCACGACGGGCGTATGCCACAGGGGCCCGCACCTTTGAAGAAATGGTGAAAGCGATCACCCGTTTCCATCCCACACCGCAGTACAAACGCCTGCGCCGATTCCAAAAGCTGCAACTCAAAAGCAATGAGACGTACCAATGCTTCGCCAAACGACTGCAGGACGACTATCAGCTGTTCCTCAGACTGGCACCTGACGATGTCACCCCAGATCATCTTCACGTGATGCATCCAATGCTCATCGAACATGCAGCTCCTTCAAGTGGCGGATGGACGAATTGCCAACAAACTCTGAGCAAAGCTGAATACAAAACCGGACATCCAGTGGGACGAGCTGATTGACCTGGCCGACAGTATCCGCAACCTGCTGGACGAACAATTGGACACCAGGACCGGACCCACAACCAACACCAAACCACGAGCAGACCGCCCACCCCGGGCGTCCCCGGGAACCAAGCTATACTGCGACTGGCATTGGTCCCAGGGACACACAACGGACACGTGCAGGGCCCGTTTCCGTGAAACCAAGCACCCTGCATACACAAAACGGGACCGCGACGACAAGGAGAAAACCGACGGAGCTACTGCCAGCAGCGTGCTACCGTGTGCAACCTGCCAGAAAACGGGACACCACGCCAAGGAATGTACCCAGCAGACGGGAAACTGACGGAGGGAGTAGGCACGGCAGCGCTCTGCTTCCTCAACACTGTCGCAACCGCCTCCGACCCCAATCTCATCCGCGTTGCCATTGCTGGCAGCCAACAGTGCGAGGCGATGATCAACACCGGCGCCTCCCACTCCTTCATCGAGCATCAGTGGGCCACCCATTTGGGACTGTCCTATATACCGACGGACGTAACGGTGTCCACCGCGGACACAACCAACATCCGCATCACCGCAAAAGTGCAGGTGGACCTTGTCATACACGAGCGGCCCTACCCAACGCCACTCTGGGTACTCCAACGCGCAGCCCACCGCATCATCATGGGACGCGACCTCATGAGCCAGTTACCCCTCACAATTGGCCTGGAAGGCAACCGCCTGTACGTCGGCTACCGCTAGCATCATCATGGGACGCGACCTCATGAGCCAGTTACCCCTCACAATTGGCCTGGAAGGCAACCGCCTGTACGTTGGCTACCGCTACCACTCCAAACGACGGGCCCAGCCAGCCCTCATTGCAGGCCATGGCATACACTTTGTCGATGGTACGCCACACGAGCAACGGGGAATCCGCGACATCCTGCTCCAGCATCAGGACACCATCTTCCAATGGTCCGGCCAACGGGGATGCCTCCCCGAGTACACCGTCACACTGGACACCGCAGACGGGGCACCGCCAGCATCCCCACCATTCCGCCAAGCGCCGGACAAACTTGCGCCTTTCAAGGAGATCATTGCGGAATATGTCCAGGCCGGCATCATTGAGCCGGCGACGTCCCCCTACAATTCACCGGCGTTCCTCATGCCAAAGAAAAATGGCCAACCGGATGCCCCCGCAGGACAGCGATGGCGACTCGTCAAGGACTACCAAAAACTCAACACCTTGCTAGTCCAGGACAACTACCCAATGCCAATAATCCAGGACCTGATTGATGCCCTGGGCCGACGCAACGCGTTTTTTTGCACCGTGGATCTACACAGCACTTTCCACCATCTGCCCATTGTGCCCCAAGACCGCCCAAAGACGGCCTTCTCAACACCCCAAGGACAGATGCAGTACGCGGTACTGCCCTTTGGACTACGGAATGGGCCAGCACTGTTCCAACGCGCCATCAACTCTATCCTGCGGCCACATCTCCTAACAAAGTGCCTAGCCTACATTGATGATATTATCGTCTTTGGCGACACCTACGCTACGGCGTGCCAAAACCTCCAGGACGTCCTTACAGCCCTGGACGAGGCCGGAGCAGCTATCGACATTGCCAAATCCACCTTCCTCGCCACCCAGATCGAGTTCCTGGGACTAATCATCGACCAAACTGGAGCATGGCCAGCTCCACACAACCTGACTGCGGTGGAGCAATACCCTCGTCCTAGCACTACAAAAGAGATGCAGAGGTTCCTAGGCCTCGCAACATATCTACGGGCCCATGTGCCCCTCAATTTTGCTATGGCGGAGAAAGTGCTGCGCACCACCATCCCCGCCAAACCTAGCACGACCCTCCGGTGGTCAACACTGGCTGAGACCGCGTTTCACGATCTGAAAACCGCGATCGCCAATGCAGCTCGACTGGAACGCTACAACAAACAGCAACCTATTGAAGTACACACCGATGCCTCTGCCACAAGCCTTGGGGCGGTCCTGGTCCAGGTACACCCCGAAACCGGGCCAGCCGTCATTCAGTACGCCAGCCGGGTACTCACAGAGACAGAAACGCGATGCACAAACACCGAACGCGAGCTCCTTGCAATGGTTTGGGCCGTAACAAAGAAGTTTTGTCACTATTTGGAGCACCGAGCGTTCCGAATGATAACGGACCACCAGCCTCTCCTTGGCAAACTCAAATCCTCCCGCCTCATCCGCATGCAAATGAAGCTTGGACAATACCAAGGGGAAATCGAATACCGGCCCGGCGCATCCTTACACGCGCCCGACGCCCTCAGTAGGGTCTCCATCCAGGCAGCTGACCTACGCCTGGCGGTACACCCGGGACAATACCGCGAAGTCATAGAACGCTACCACATCAACCTGGGGCACGCACACTGGAAGAAAGTGCTGCACA